AACATTCCGAAAAATCTGGAAAAAAAAAATGTACCCAAATTCACAACCAAGCTCGATTTAAACATAAAAAACCTTAAAGAAAACTTTAGAGATTTTTTTTTACTTTAAAATGTGTTTTTTATTATTATGATAATATTGCCTTTTTTTTTTTTTTTTTGCTTTTTTACTAGAGTTTGGTTGGAAATTTGGGAATGACTCCCAGGCAAAACTTGTTTGTATCATGATTCTGCATAACATATGTTTGTTACAGAATTTTGTTTTTATTTTTTTTGTTTTTTCCTTGCTTTTTTAAAACTTATTCAATTTATTTGTTTTTTGTGTTTTTGATTTTTAACATGAGTCTGGTACAAAAATTTGAGATGAGTTGCAGGGAAAAGTTGTTGGAAATATCATTTTGCTGAATTTTTGCATAACATATCTTTCTTCAGATTTTTTTTTTTTTTTTTTTTTTTTTTCAAGTATTCCCGCATACGGGAGTACGTGTACACATGTACGTGTCGTATACAGGAATACGTGTATCCGTGTACGCGCAACCCGCGGACACGTATGTCGTGCTACCCAGGAACGCATAACGACTTCGCTACTCTCCTTGGAAATTCTTCCAGCTGGCAGAGTTTCCTACGGGCTATCACCCACATGGACATGGCATGTCGGAAAAGGAGGTTGGTTCAAGAGACGGAGTTTTTTTATTGATTGCATGAATCAGAATTTTTTAGTGATTGAGGCTGAAACCTGATCGAAAAATAGCGCTAGCGCCGACGGTTAGCGCTACTGGAAGAGCAGCGCTAATTTGCGCTAGCTACCGGACCGACCCCGCCGGGCTCTCGCCCGCGGGAACCCGCCCCGCACCAGCACCCGAGCACACGCCGACTCCCACCCATCGCTCCCGTGCCCGGCTGAGCTGCGCGCGGGGATTTCGAAAGCGACAACGAAAACTCACCCCACCTCGCCGCCATCGCCCAGCGTGAGCGGCTATCGCCCAGCGCAAGCCGCCATCGCCCAGCGTGAGTGGCCATCGCCGGAGCCCGACCCCAAAGTCACCGTCAGCCACCGAGTACCGCACCTCCCGCTCCTCATGAACGAAGGAAGGGAGATCAGAGCAGCGAGGAGCAAGCAAGCTTGAAGCCAGCTCCGCCTGTCGCCTCCAGTTGCCACAGGGGCGAGACGACCGACAAAAAGTAACAGCTGTTCTCTGCCGGCCTGGAAGCGAACCATCCGAGACAGCCTGCGCGCAGGAAACGCGCCTCAACAATCACGAACGGAATCATAGCCGAGTTCCGAGTCGCAGCGGCAGCAGCCGCCAGTTCATCTATCAAGCAGGAGGGGCAATCCTCCTCCACCATTGCCACGAGACCTTACCTCCCTCGAACTTGGGCATCCAGACGGAAGTAAACGACGAACGAACGCCAGCGGAGATCCCATTCGACGGTCGGAAAAATACGTGGGAAGTACGCATGCTCTACTAACGCAAGCGTGGTCAGGCACATCGCCGAAGGGACACAACCAGCTAACCACGCGGCCATCTCGTCAGCGGAAGCAGCAACTTTGCAACTCCGCAGCCGACAATGAAGCACGCCGCCACCAAGCGCCAAGCTTGGAGAGAAGTCACTCGCTAACGACTAACCTTTCGCCCAGCCCCCC